TAATATCTAAGAGAAAATAATCTTACTTTGGTGTCCTTTTGAGTGTTGTGAAATTCACACGCTTCAGAAGGACGCCTTATGTTGATATGATATCTAAGAGAAAATAATCTTACTTTGGTGTCCTTTTGAGTGTTGTGAAAATCACACGCTTCAGAAGGACGCCTTCTGTCGATGTGATATCTAAGAGAAAATAATCTTACTTTGGTGTCCTTTTGAGTGTTGTGATCGTCCGGGTATTCCGCACTCCTTCACACGCTTCAGAAGGACGCCTTATGTTGATATAATATCAAAGAGAAAATAATTTCAATTTGGTGTCCTTTTGAGTGTTGTGAAATTCACACGCTTCAGAAGGACGCCTTATGTGGATATAATATCTAAGAGAAAATAATCTTACTGTGGTGTCCTTTTGAGTGTTGTGATCTTCGTAAAACTCCTGGTATTCCGCACTACTTCACACGCTTCAAGAGGACACCTTATGTCGATGTCATTTATAAGAGAAAATACTCTATTCTATGACCGTATTTAAGAGCAGCCTTTTTTCAAATGACCTTATTTAAGGGTATCCTTGACCGTATTTAAGAGCATCCTTTTTCAAATGACCGTATTTAAGGGTATCCTTGACCGTATTTAAGAATGTTCTGTTTTGGAAGCACCGTATTTAAGAGTATGCTTTACAGTATTTAAATGTTTCCTTTTCTCAAATGGTCTTTTTTAATGGGTATCCTTGACCACTTTTCAAAATATATTCTTCCAGTTGATCTTAAATATAAGTTACGATGGCGTGTTTTGAGAAAAAGACTACATCCCGGGCGTAGAGTGCAGCTTACGGCCATCTCACAGCCCAAATTACATAAATTTACTGTATTTTATGGGGTCCTTCTCCCCCCTGTATTGTATTATGCATTCACTTTGAAAACCATTTGGAAGCCAATTGTTCAATGTCTATCACTTCTAGAATGGACAAAATTTAAAGAATACATTCTGTATAACTTTGAAAAGCTCAAGGTCGTTTTCTTTTCGATACGATATACCCACAACTTCTTAGTTTGTCTTAGCGGAAACAAAATATATAAGTCTGAAACTACACAAAGTACATTTGTGCCTTGCCGTTATTTTAAGAGTGTATGGACAATAACCATGCCTAAAGACTGAGGACCGTGAGATTGCAAATACGTGTTACAGAATTTACCCACTATCCATATTGAGAGAAATCTTGTGGGGACAGTCCTTACAATTATATTTTTCGATATCATGGCGATGAATGTTACAGCATTAACAAAGATCAGATCGCATTGGACTTAGCATGTTTGGTGTGGTTTTGTGAAGGGAGGACACTCTTTCAATCTGCGAATCTTAAGRATCCTGGGTTGCATCATCGACTTCTGTATTGAATATGTCAGCAACGAAACGCATTTTAAAAAGAAAGCAAAGGGCATTCTTTTTTTAAGGGCTATGAAATAAGGAAGAGATGCTGTACGCTTGATAGGCTCTTAAAAAGGCCGAGTTCAAATTGATAGCGCTTGTCTTTCCTCGCGGGACACAGAATAAGAGCGAATTCCAATTGATTCAAAGTATTCTATTTTCGTAGAGAAATATACTTCAAGCGATTCTTAACAGAGAATTTTTCTTGATAGATTAAAAAAATTCAGGCTGAAAAGCTTTTTGAATAGGTATAATGTTTGGGCCACTCATCCAAATACTAACCCTCCTTAAACGGGCTTGACTCAGTATCTTCGATGCCCAAGTTTTTCCCACTGGACCACAGTTCAATATACGTAATCAGCATAACAATAGCCGTGAAAACAATGCACCAGATAGACTAGACTTTTTGATGTTATTTTCTCAACCGATTCCGTGCGTGGCAGAGATGCAAGGGATTAGCCGATATGGTCTGGGAGCCGGCTGGTCTCTCCCCTGATGCTTCGGCTAGAACATTTTCTTGCGTAATTCGTGCACCCAAGGGCAGAAGGATTTAATTGCCGTCAGGTCCGAAGTCC